CTGAAAAGACTCTTAAAATGCCCATAACTTCGTCTATATTCAAGAGATTGGAAAATTTCAAAAGCGTTTCGAATGGGAAAAATTCTTCTACATCTTCATGTGTCCCAAATAAGGAAATGTTTGCCAAATCGCCACAAAAATTCGACTAAAAGTCGGAATATTTTGCTCAATATTGGAAAATTTGTCAAATAATAAAATCTTCCACTCGCGTAAATAAATCGATAAAAAGTCGAGATTTCCTGAACAAAAACAAATTAGACTTTCTTCCGTAGGCCTGTAAGTGTCCGCGCAGCCGGACTGCACTGAAAAGACTCTTAGAATGCCCATAACTTCGTCTATATTCAAGAGATTGGAAAATTCCAAAAGGGTTTCGAATGGGAAAAATTCTTCTACATCTTCATGTGTCCCAAATAAGGAAATGTTTGCCAAATCGCCACAAAAAATCGACTAAAAGTCGGAATATTTTGCTCAATATTGGAAAATTAGTCAAATAAAAAAATCTTTCGATCGCGTAAATAAATCGACAAAAAGTCGAGATTTCCTGAACTAAAACAAATTAGATTTTCTTCCGTTGGCCTATAAGTGTCCGCGGCCGGAATGCACTGAAAACACTAGTAAAATGCCCGTAACTTCGTCAATATTCAAGCGATTTGAAAAATTCCAAAACCGCTTCGAATGGGAAAAAATCTTCTACATGCCCTAAATAGGGAAATGTTTGCCAAATCGCCTGAAAGTCGGAATATCTTGCTCAACATTGAAAAATTAGTAAAAAAAATCTCTTTTAAATGGTCGGTAGTAAAGTAGAATCTAGATACTCGCGTTGTGGAATCTGCTACTGGGCAGACAGTAGAAGCGCATTTAACATGTAGACAGTAGAGAAAGAAATTGAATCGCATTGATTAAAGTAAAGGCGGCGTAACAAAAGGTGAAATACGACAGAGCATTACGCAAAGCGGTTCTCTATGTAAAGTGATCCTTGAAAATGCAAGCGTATAGTGAAGTCGTGTCCATATATCACCATATTTTTGTGTTTGTCGAGAATTTACGCGCAACACTCGGACACAATGAGAAGAAATATCCTGTTCCATTGCACGTCCACCCACAATGTGACCACTTTTATCATCGGGGGCCCATAAATCGCAGCAGGGACACAAAGAGCCTGAATTCTGCGAGTGAGTTCAAAGTGAAGAAAAGCGAAATTTTCAATCGGCGATATTTGTTTGCACTCGGTGGCCGAAACACAAAGAACCACTCGAGCCCAGACATTCCCACGTTTCCTTGATGAGAGCCGATGCGTAACCTTAGTTAGAGCCGCCACCCCGCAGTAATTGAGAACAAGGCAGAAATATGACTTGCATCGCGTTTTAAACTCATTTTTAATTCGCTAATCGACATTTAAAATGCCGCGGATACTCTACATCGCATAAATAAAACGCAAAACTCCGTTAATGATCCGCCAGTTTGAACGGTGCTTAAGTCAAGACTCTTTTTTACGGCTTTATTTTAATACTTTGCGCAATAAAAATCGTCGGCATTTTAAACGAGGCTGTGTACTGGTTAACGCTGAATGTAGGAGAAGACATGGTAGATTGGACCGCTGAAGAACTTTCCTCAGTTTTGATGTCGTCGGCTATTTTCGACTAATTTTGGAACTCTATAAATTCTGGCTGCTCAATCAAATCTTTGTGCGTGTTTTTGCAACGCAACGAAGTCGCTATTTTTTTCATCATTTTCAGCACCATTTTCCATT